TTCTGGGGATACTATGCTGAGTCAGATAGCCAGCATTCTTATTCTAACTTTATGCATTTGATTATGCATAGAAAATAGTCTTCTGGGGCCAAAATGAATATTTAAGGACCATTTCCCTCCTCCAGTAGGGTTCCTTCTTCATTCCAAGTTATCTACTGGATATTCATTTGTAACAGTAACTCATTTTTCTCTTTTTAGGACCACTGAAGCCAGAAATAACTGTAACCTACATTGCTGTTGCAATAATATTCTTTAACAGTGGACTGTCATTGAAAACAGAGGTACTGTAATTTAACAACAACAACAACAACTGTAATTTATGGGACACATGAAAAGGAGGGAGAAAAATTGAAGTAATATTTAATGATTTTGAAATTTTAGGGTCATTTTTGTAGAGCTATTTGTAGCTATAACCTTAATCCTACACTGTAATAGAGGATGAATTAAACATTAGTGAAGAGCTTAGATTTTGTTCCTATATATTCTAGAAAATTCAGAGTTGAGTAAAATGTACTGTAAAGATCTTATAATAATGTTGTTGTTACGTGCCATCGAGTCGCTTGCAACTCATAGTGACCCTATGTACAAGAGCTCTATATGCTCCTCTATCTTGTGCCAACCTAGCCATCTCAAATGCACTTATTCCCACCTCTCCAGTCACAGAATCAATCCATCTCATCAAAGGTCTTCCTCTCCTTTGCTGCCCCTCCACTCTGCCAAACATGATGTCCCTCTCCAAGGACCAGTCCCTCCTTGCAACATGCCCAAAATATGTCAGACGAAGCTTCAGAATCCTTGACTCCAGGGAACATTCTGGCTTCACCCTCTCCAGGACAAACCTGTTTGTTCTCCTACCAGTCCATGGTATATTCAACACTCTTCTCCAGCACCACAACTCAAAGGCATCAATTCTCTTCCTATCTACCCTAGTCATTGTCCAACTCTCTGATGCATAGCACATAATTGCAAAGACTATAGCCTGGATCAGGCGCACCTTAGTCTCCAGTCTGACATCGTTGCTCTCTTGAGAGGTCCCTCACAGCTGACTTTCCCAATGCAATGAACACTGGCCTGGTGCAGCTGCTTTAGGTATTCAGATTATTGTGGTAACTACAGGGGCAGCTGCTGTGCTGGAGGATGTCTGTGCTGTTGAGGTTTAAGTGGAGTTTCTACAAGTTTTATAGGGAGCATAGTCTGTAGGGAGCTGCATTATTAACCCAAAGGCAGGACCTCTCGAGAGGTTTGAATCCACCAGTTGCTCTGAGGGAGAAAAATGGGCAATTCCCTCATGTGTGATCTGTAGCCTCCTGAAAAACTGCTGGAGGGTCAGCTATGAGTTGATTCCGACCAATGTCCTTGAGATTTAGTCTTTAACTTTGATCAATCACTTTTTGTTCCCAGGATCCATGCTGCTCAATTGATGTTTGTTATAACTTTCAACTAATTTAAAAAAGTTTCTATTCTATGCTAATGTATTTATTAATTATTACTAGATGCTTTACTCTATTTCATGTTGGCTCACCAGCCTCCTTATAGATAATACAGTTAATGTTCTTGGTTAGGCTATGTTTCATGACCATGAGATTCTCTTGGAAGTAAAGGAATGAAGATTTAAGTCTCAGAATCATTAGTAGAATTCATGATTCTCTTTTGACTTCCAGCGGAGGAGAAAAACTAGGGGAAAAGCTCATTTGCATTTTGAAGAAATGATGTCAAGTTTTAAAAGTTGTCAGTCTAATGTTTGCTCTTGTTTATATGGAAGGAGCCCTGGTAAGGTTTTGGGTTACGTGTTAGACTTTTAAATGAAAGATTGGCAGTTCACTGTCTGGAAGAAAGTTAAGGCAGTGTCCTCTGTAAAGATTTATAACTGATGGTTTGAATACCTGAAGGAGGTCTCCATGAAGGCAGTGGGATTTATTTATATGTAAAAAAAAAGAGGATTTTTTTTGACAAATCCTTTCCATAGTTATTATTTTTCATCATTTCTTATATTTATTGTAAGAATTTCAGAATTTTTGCATTGCATTTTACTTTTATGTAAATAAAAGAGAGGGTGGTTTTTTGTTTTTTGTTTGTTTGTTTGTTTGTTTTTGTCAGTGATTCAAATGAAGACCAAATATAGTTACCTTCTTAGATAATTTTAGGAGAAAAACATACAGAAAAACAATTTCCTGAATTTATGTACTCTATTTCTCAGCTTGGTATAAGTCTTTTAATTGGCATATTTTTGCTATGTAGGATCAGTGTCTACAGTTCTTATGATATTTATCTTAGGAATTATAAATATACTTGTTCTTCTGAAAACAACGGAGTTGAGACTTTTCCCCCCAATATATCACACTCCAGCTATTGCAGATTATATTAGAATGAAGAAAAACCACTATAAATAGCACGTATAGGCATCTACTTTTTCTGTCAATTCTAATACCGGTTCTTAAATTTGAGGTACGTTGATGCACAAGTTCACTTGCCACTGCCCTGGTGCTGGGCTGATCTTAGTTTGAGGTCTTCCTGCTTGCTGGCCTTGGCTAATGGAGCAGCTGCCTAACCCAAATCCTGTACTTGGGATGTTGCTCTTACTACATCTCCTGGTGGCTGCTTAATGGCTGCAGCTGTTTCTTATGCCGTGGGAGATCTGACAAAGAACTTGATTTCTCTCACGCCTTACTTAATACTGTTTTGTACAACAGCCAACTCTGTGGGATGCAAGAGCTGAAGAAGGAAGAAGGCCATGCTTTCTGTGTCCTTTAGGGACTGACTTCCTCTGAAAGTACCTTGGAAACCTTCAGAGTCATCCAGCTAATTTGGATCTAATGATGAAATGCCTTGATCCTGTTCTTTATTGCAGTATCTAAGTAGCCATCAAAGCCACCTCCATCAAAAGCCCTTTTCAAACTAATACATTAAGTCATTTTCAAAGCCGTTTAACTTGAGACGCCCTAGATTGCATCATTGTGTAATGTTAAACCATCTCTAAGTCCTGCTAATTTCCTGGATGTCTAAGCTCCCAGGCAATAGTTTATTGATGTTTTTCAGTTAGAAATCTCAAATTCATTTCAGCAGAAACGACTCTTTTTGCATCTATTAGGTCTTAGAATAAGGCATTTTTCCACATTTACTTTAAGGCGTAATTTATTATAGCTGAGTTTCTTTTGAAAACATTTGTGTTAGACTCATCCAAGTCTGATTTACATCAGTTTATGTTGAATAGCTCATATATTGATTCAATAACATATATTCTACAATCTTTTATTTTACTATTATGTTGCTAGTTATGTGTGCTAACACAAGACCAAATCTTCAGTTTTATGACTGTTGTTGATTCCTAATTTTTGGAAGACCTGTTGAAGTAGTTTCTGAAATTTTGTCACATTAAAGTGAGCTAGAGTCACATTTGAAATATATCTTGAACTGCAATAATCCTAAACTTCTTGTTTCAAAGGATTTGTCCTTTAAAAGTGTATGGCAGTACTAATTAGAAAGAGCCCTTGTGACTTAACTGATCTGGCTGTTGAAAAAGGTCAGTGGTTTGAATCCACCAGGCACTCCATGAACAGTTCCCTCCTGAAAAGATTTACAGTCTTAGAATCCTGATTTGAGGGTCCCCGAGAGTCTGAATTGACTGGATGGCAGTAGGGTTAACTCAACTAGACATTTACCTCTAACTCCTATAATTACGTGCCTATAACTCTGAGGCATTGTGTCTGGGATAGGTAAGAAGATGAGCTAGAGGAGCAGGGTCCCAAAACAAGTCCCCAGTAAGAAAAAAACCAATGCAAATTCCCCATGTTTTTCTAAGCAGGTTTATTTTTTCCATTTTATCCTATTAACATAGAAATAAATATAATAAATTCTAAACTTTAGGGTCATCTTGCTTTTCTCAAGACCAAAGCATTCAGGAAATGAAATCAGATAAAGGTCAAATAAGAGTTGGAAGGGAAATTGGTATGTAATGAAAATATTTCTATATCCTAGCCAGAGCCTCTGATTTTAAGCTTTTCTCAATACTGTCGGTGAGATTCTGGCATAATCAGTGTATTAGATAGAGTTTCTCCTTGAGTTTATTGTAATGGAATTTGACCAGCATACAGGTGAATAAACAATGTGTGCAAAGTCATCTTTTCAGTTATTCATGACAGTGTTGATATGATTATATGACCTTATAGTTCAGACAGATATATATGGAATAATATTGTTTTGAATTTTAGAGTATTTACTTACTTTCTGTTTTTTTTGGGTTAATTTATTTTTTCTTTATCCTTATAGAAAGAAGGAAGACACAGAAAATATATAGTGGTTTTTATGACCATCTGGAAAACTTTTCTCTTAGGAACACTTTCCGCTTGTCACTTCCCTGTCATTAAGAAGCCCCTCCTGACCCAATGTAGTCTCTGCTCTGTGACAAATTGTAGTATTTAATACTGCTTGAAAATTATCTTTTTAAAACTTAACAGATCTTTGAGATCATTTATTGCACATAAAGAATTTCCTGTTTCTTTTTGTAGACTGGGAAGTCCTTTATTATTGATGAACATTTAGGTAATTTTTAAGATTTTATATTACAAACAATACTAAAAGGAAGAGCCTAATGTACCATTTCCCACATTGGGGAGCAAATTGGAAGGATAACATTCCTTAATTAGAATTGCTAGACCAAGTTATATGTGGAGTTTAAACTGTTAGACACTCCAGGCACCTGCCCTGGCTCCAGGTGCTCAGTGTTTGTTGAATGAATTGCAGATCATTCTCTATAGATTCTGTCAATAGACCTTCTAGCTAATAAAGTAGGAGAACCCAAGTGATTCCTAATTCTTGTCAGTACAGGCTTCAACATAGCTTTTGGTAGCTCACAGCAAACTCTTTATACCAAATTATTTAATTATTTTTCTTTTTCTTTTTTTAAGATTTGCATGTTTTGCTCTAACATATAATGATGCGATAAATTTTGTATATAAAGGTTTATAATAATTTTTATATCCTTGCCATGAAATTATTGAATTTAAGAATGAGACTGAATTATAGCCTTTGATACGTATTCTCAAATTACTTTTCAAAAAAGTTACACTGTTTTATTTTTCTACCATGTGTAAATGTAAACACCATACATATATCCTACATTATGGCTACATCATTTTAATTAGAATAGTGTTTGAAATAAAAATAAGCACATGGTATGCTATGTCTCTGAGTATGCTTAAATGCTTGCTGTGAAGTCTCTGTGGGATTGGTGTGGGACCTTAAGAATTCCTAATCAAAATAGAAGATTGACTACATAATTACATCAAAATGAGGAATTTGTAACCATTGCAAAATGGAATACTTTAACAATATAAAAAGGATAATGCTTATGAGATCTTAAGTGGAAAAAATGTTTACATATGCAAACCAATATAAAATTTTAAAAATGTTTACAGTATGACTAATCTTCTGTTTTGAAATATTTAGGTCATTCCCAATTTTGGTTGTAATAAACAATGCTGTCTATAAAACTCCCCCCTCCCGGAAAAAATCCCAAAAAGAAAAAGAATTCTTATTCAGATAACGGATGTTTCACTTTGTTTTCTAAGAGTTAAGTTTGATACACATGCCCTCTGTGGCCTCTGTTCTACCTACTGTTGCCAAGTGGCCCTGAATGAGACTCAGATTGTCAGGCACTTAGATACCCCCTAGTTCATAGTGAGTTGCACTGCTGACTCTGAAGACTGCACTTCTCTGGAGGCTTGGAGACCCTAGTACCTCCACGGGAGAAAGCGAGGCAGTGTCCTGTGCAATTGATAGCCATGGACACCAGACAGACTTTGCTATGAGTTGTGATGAGTTTTTGACATACTGCTAAGGATATCCTGTGACCAGCTATTGAGTGTAGTGATCAGTGAATAAGTCCATATTAATTTATTGTTTATTTAAACTGATAAACTTTGGCTAAAGTCAGTGATCTCTTAAACTTCTAATTTTGTGTAGTCTACAGGGTGCAGTTGTAGTGCTACATTTGCAAGCAGTGAATTGTGGGTATCCTGAATATACCTTCAAGATTGCCTACATGTTTTAAAGGATTGTAATTTTTATATTATTTTCTGAATTGAGACCACATAACTAAAAGAATTCATATGCAAATGTTTGATAGTTTGGATATGT